ACGATAGAGGTCTTTTTACTGAAAAATTATATTTACAATGGTGTAGAAAAAAAAACGTGTTTTTCGGAGTTTAACGGACTCCCAGGCAACGCGTTTCACATTTAAGAACCTACATAGGAGATTTCGTCGACGTATATATGCAATGTTAAAAGAAAAGCAAGTGGAATTACATTATACATCTCGAAATGAAACGAATATAACGGCTTAAAAAGCGAAATATATTTGGCTTATTTTTACTTTAAGTACGACGCGACATTTCGAATGCTATTCAGCAGCCGTAGTCCTCCCTTGACCGCAATATATTTCGTAAACTACAGACAATGCTTACCTACATCTTTCTAACTTCTATACAAGAAGTAACTTTTGAATGACTTCTCGAAAATTCCACGAGCAATATCTTTGTGAAATTGCGGCATAGATGTGTATGACTTGACAGAGTAAGAACAGAACAATACTAGAAGGGCCCGAGATATATATCGAAGGCTTATTGCTTATTGGATACGGAACCAGCGAATTTGAATAAAAGGCTCTCGTAAAGTAGTCCTGCTCCTATTATTGCGTTCCATAGGGAGGGGAAGTTGTCGATAAATTCGATTTTAGCTAGATTACATTGCGATAGTTAGTTACAGTTGTTTGGATCTATTGAGTAGCCCGTTCCATTTCGTCTTTGATGTACGTAGCCACTCCGTTTAGTATTTACTTTGCTTACTAAAAGGAGTAGGTATCTTTAGTTTTATATTAATGCACGTAGTCGCATATAGACTATTTATATATTTACTCACGTATTCACCTTCACGATTTCTGTATATTACCTTCTATATAGGTTATTTTTTAATAATAAGACTAAATTACATCATTAGTCTCATTACACTCCTTACCAATAAGACAGGCAAAATGTAGCAAATAGACAACTTGTACAAACAACAAAAACATTTAAAATATTTTCAAAAAGTTTTTTCTTTATAAATTAGCGTAATGATTTAAAATTCTTTATTATCTGTAGTATTACAATTAGTACACATTTACCTTGTAACGGTTTTAAACGCGAAATATATAAGTTACATGTACAATTTATTTTAGCTACGACCCGACGTTACGATTGCTTGGCAACAGCTGTGATCACGGGGGAACGAGGGTGTCCTTGACGTCAATGTTTTATATGCTACGCTATAAGTTAACATTTTGTCCAGTTTAAAACAATTACATACAAAACAGTTTGTTTTATTGAAATTAAAAATTATGTAGTAAGTGTTTCTAGAAGGCTGTTGGAGTTCTGAATTATAAATTAAACACTTTAAACGGAGCAACAGCACGGAACGCTGCAGTTAAAAAGCCAAAAAAAATATCACTTACAACGGTTTAAAACGCGAAATATTGTGTTCTACTTAAATTACTCGCGTAAGGTATAGACAACTTTTGATTAACCAGTACATCTTTTTATTTTTACCTTACATGAACATAGTCGTCGCCGCATAGTTACGTACTGCTAACAGTATGTGCGTAAAATCCCGTTTCCCCTCGTGGGGCGAACACATTTCTGTGTACGTTTCTCTGATCGATTTTTATTAACAGGCAGTTGATCAGACTTCTTTGCCCCAATGGATTGTTTCGGTCGGGCGTAAGTAAAAAAAAAAAACTCCTTTTCCCTGCCCGACCGAAACAATCTATTGTTTCGCCGGGATTCGAACCCAGGACCTCTCGCGCTTTACACACTGCTAGGCAACACGTTTAACCATTTAGCTAACAGTATAAACTTTTAAATTACCAGGAAGGAGTAAGATGAACTATCAACGTGTTTATCGACTCACGCCATCCTTGGTCCTCAAACCTATCAAGTTTGCGGTCATAAACTGGTATATCTGACCCTCGATTGATCGCGGGTTAAGCCTTATATAACCTCTTCCCTAACAAGATTTTTCGTTTATTTTCGCTGACCTTTCAACACTTGAAAACTATTACGATTTATTTCTTGAATATTGAATTTCGGGACGATTTCAGCACAAAGGCTATCCCTTCTAACTTATTTGGCTCCCTTGGACCTTTTGTTATATAAAAGTAATTATTAAAGAAATTAATATATGTTAATTTGATCGTTAAATTTACACAAGTAGTAAACATTTAAATAAAACACTTTAACGGTTTAAAACGCGATATATTAGTTAAACTTATTTGAAAATGATTTTTAACTTCGGCCCGACGTTTCGGATGCTTTGCAGCAGCCGTGGTCACGCGGAGACGTAACCCGTATGGAATTTTCCAACACATTTAGGAATAATTATAAACCTGAAATTGAACCCACGACCTGGTAAATATTAGCTATACATGGCTGGCATTAGACCAGAAAGCCCCTCAGATGCCCCTTATTTAACTATAATACATTGTAACTAAAAACCAATTTTTCTAGTTTATATCCAGTCTATAAAGCTGCGTATATTGTTCTTACAGTATATTGTAACAAAGCGGATAATCTTTATAACACTTAATGACGTAAACGCTGAAATGTTTTAAGTTAAACACTTTGTAAGGCGGCATAGCGGTTGTCAAAGACTTTTGGATTAGATAAGCTAGTTTTTACCCGGCAAACGCGGGGCCAAAATTATTCCTGCATACTTCAACCTACCGTGAACATAAGCTAATTCTTTTGATCGTCAAATGTTATCAGATGATGGATAGAGTTTTTAACTCATAATTGTGCTAGTGAGACAATCTTTATATTTCTTGCCTCAAAAACTTTCTTTGGCAATAATGCGGCTTGGTAAAAAAAAACAAACAGGTGTATAATTTAAATAAAACACTTTAACGGTTTAAAACGCGATATATTAGATAAACTTATTTGAAAATGATTTTTAACTTGTCTCCCCGTGACCACGGCTGCTGCAAACGTCGGGCCGAAGTTAAAAATCATTTTCAAATAAGTTTAACTAATATATCGCGTTTTAAACCGTTGAAGTGTTTTATTTAAATGTGTACTACTCGCGTAAACTATAGACAGAATTTAATTAACCAGGTGTATAATTCTAAACTACACTTTGTAAAAGTTATTACGAATCTAATAGTCGAAACAGTGGTTTCAGTCTGTGGATATCCGAATATCCAAAGCCAAAATAGATAAAAACGGACATAGCACTAGACGCTTGCTGTGGGTGTTTTCCGAAATCCGAAATCTAACTGGAGACAAAAATGTCGACAAAAGCAAAAACTATTTCCGCACAAAGTCCAGAAGCGTTGTACGTTTGTCTCACCAAAAATGCAATATACGGAGAGACAGTGTAATTGTGTATATTAATAGCGTCTGTCCGTTTGCGGAAGCTGTTTGCATTCTGTAATTGAATTTAAGCTCGAATATCTACTTAGTTTTTCATTCAAGCTTCACCCGTTTAAAAAAGATACTGGTGTGCTGAAGTGGCACATAAGACTTTAATAGCAAATTATTTAAATAAAACACTTTTAACGGTTTCAAATCGAAATGCATTCGTTAAATTTCACAAATTATTATTTTTTTGACGTTTAGTCTCCCCGCAGTTAAATTAAAAAGTTAAGGGGTAACTAATACTTTTCGCGTCATAAACTGTTAGAAGTGTTTTTATGGAAATGTGTACTACTCGCGTAAACTACAATATATATATATATAGTAGTATAGAGTAGTAGCCAAATTTTTTTAGGCAAAATAAGTGCCAACAACATTTTGAAATAGAGAAATCACAAATAATAAATTTGATTGAGTGACGACTATCACAAAACAAAAATATTTGCACATTTCTATATACAATATTCTCTAAGCAAATAACTGTTTTTTTTAGTTTTGTCTGTAATAATACGTTTTAACGGTTTAAAACGCGAAATTTATTAGTTAAACTTATTCATATCTTTTCAAGTTTTTCATCTTTATTTTTCACTCTTTTAATTCCATAATAAATCTTGTCGATCGTCTTTCGTTTGATTTAAAATTTTTATCTTTCCGTTCGTGAAAACCAGCTTATACTTTTACTACCAGACCATTCGAGATTTAACTACCCCCAGTTGTAACTATAATTTTTTACAACAAGTATATCTCAGTAATAATACTTAAAGAAAGCCCGTTAAACTTGATGTTACGGCCGCGGTTAATTTTCCGTGTTTTCCTTTAATATTCTTAATTCCTTTTCTTTTGGAAAACGTCCTTAATTAAGGACACGGAGAGTTTGCATTAAAAATGAATTAGTGTTTTCTTTTGTTAAAATTAGCTGAGTTAAGATACAGCGCAATTAAAGTTCTTCGTGGGATGGCCGAGCGTCTTTTGAAGAGATGACCTTTGGACGACAAAGGAATTGGCTTAGTACATTATTACTTTTACCATTTAATTTATTTTAAATTGGAGAGTGAATCTCTTTGATAACCATAACTAAGGTTTCTTGCTAGACGTTTATTTTACGTTATTATATATAACGGACACTTTGTCTGTTACTTTTACGTGAATTTGAATTTTTTCTGAAACACGTTGGACTTTAGGACATCCGGAAATTAAATTGCGTCCAAATCGAACACAGCTGAAAAAGTGTGCAAAGTTCAACCACTTTTTGGTTTCGGTCTGTTAATTTCCAATTATCCAAAAATAGATTGATTGCGTATCTTACTTACATGTTATAAGGCTTGGGTATTACACCTTACATCAAATAAAAGTGTTTGTCTGTCGTTAGTCAATCTGTCCAGCTTAAAAGGATAATCGATATACATTACTTAATCTAAAGTTAAAAAAACCGTGAAGTTAATTCACGTTTTGATTTCAGTCTGTGGATTTCCGAATATCCAAAAGCCAAAACGGGTCTACAGCGCGTCTTATTGAAATGTTATACGGAGGTATTTCACCATACATAAGGTGTCTGTCCTCGTCTATATAAAAAAAATGTCTGCTATGATATAGGTGTCAAACCATTCTTATTTTCTCTTCTTTCTACTTAACGCAATGTAAGACAACGACTGAGGTGGTTAAATAGAGTTGTAACAGTTAAATGAGTACGTACATATAACAGTGAGGGATGCGTTCGCCCGGATCACTTTGTGCATCTGCGCTGGCCCAACTTGACACTGGTATTCAGCATCGTCCTCTAGTGTCACGTTGATGATACGCAGGTTGTAGACACCGTGCCGCCTGTCCCCGAACATCGTGTACCGTGGGTAGCCGGGGATAACCGATGAGAATCCTGGAAAAAAATCTTAATGTTAATTTTTATTAATGATTACTTAGCTGTGACGTCCTTTTTATGTGTACGGGGGTTCGATCGTCAGTTATGCAATTAGATTTTAATATTTGTACGCTTTCAAGGGTTTGAACATCACAAAGAAACTAATAAATCTCAGATTTTGTATCTTATTAATAACAATACTCTACTATTTAATACACGAATTTGTTTTTTGAATTTGAACCACTCATCTAAGGAACGAGTGCTTCGAATTGAAAAAATATTTTTGTCCTGGGTAGATCATCTATCAGAGATCTTTTGGCTAGAAAACATACCACAACGACCAATAAATAGGATCGAAGAATCAATGAGGCTGGTGGAAAAAACGGGAAATCTTACAGATAGATCTTTAATTTTTATTAACTAATATAAGTTTTAAGATAAACGGGAGTAAGGTTTGATTCGGATTTGGAAAAAGCGATGCGATTGCATATTGCAATGCATTGCATATTGGATTGAAATATTAATATATAAATATTCCACATTTATATCTCTATATGTTACACAAGTATATTATGCAAGTAATACACATTTAAATGTTACCAGTTGGCGGAGGAAAACGCGAAACATATTAGTTAATTTATTTTTAAGTACGACCCGACATTTCGGACGCTTGGCAGTAGCCGGCGCGGAACTACGTTACGTGTTTTAAATTGCTAAAAGTGTTTTATTCAAATGACTTTTTATGTGCTCTTGAACAAGTTTGCGTTCGCTCCATTAGAAAATCCAAACACACGAACTTCCCTCCTCAACCGAGATTAGTCGCTCAAAACTTACGACTTCCATAAAATCCATCATTTTGGTGGAAACTTTTGACTTAAATCTACATTCGCGCCAGTGAATTAACACGACTCTATAGCAAGTTCAAAAAAAAGTGCAAACTTTTAGTTGGAAACTATTTGAACTTTTCACTTGGAGCATAAATTAACTTTTTTCAACTGGAGTCGTCGTGGGGTCGGTTCAATGATTTCAGTAGTACCAGCTGCTAACTTAAAGTGTGGACGAGGCTTCAAATATATTTTTTAAATCCAACAATTATATATTTAAACTACGCTTTTACTGCAGTTTTGCTTAAGAATTGCTATAATATAAAATACAAATAAATAAAAATAAAAAGCCTTGTGTCACAGCCCTACATTTATAAACTATCTATTGACAATCTTTTATATACCTAATCAAATACTATATAAATGTGTGTCCTGCAATGTAGGCCTCCCCCTCTAAACGTCAGTCATCCCTATTCCGGCATGTCCTAGTAAAGAATAACTATACAAGAAGCCTTTTCATGTATTAAAGCTATATCTAGGTACTGTCTTTTCTCTCAACAAAAGACACACACATTTTCGCATTTATAGTATTCGTATGAATATATAAATTTAAAACAATGTAAAGGCCTTTCTTTATCAGTTATAATTATATACTTAAAAATTATTTTCAATATATTTACGACAGAGACGGGATTTTGGAGCTAGCTCATAACTTAATGTTAAGATAAACATTAAGTTATTAAACAAACAAGAGTTATTAAACAGTACGGGGTCCTGTCCGTGTCGTAAATATTTCTCAAACTAAAATCGATTTTTAGTCTATTTATATTGAAAAAATATTACGACACAGGCGGGCTTCGAACTTGAATCTACAGCGTTCCGTGCTGTTGTAACCGATTGATCTACCGTGTCCTACACGTCATACTCGAATCTCTCAGCCTATTGATATATGCACCTCTCGCGTAATGTAATTTCAACCTTAACATCTAACAATGAATATAAAGTACATTTTATAAATCAATCAAATAGCCCCTTAAGGTTTTTCATTAAATTCGACGCGGAGGTCGTCAGAGCCCATTATCCCACTGGCGCAGCATGGTGGATCGATGCCCTTAAAACCACCTCATATGTGAAGCGACATAATCCCAGCAGTGGAAACAGTCATTGGTTGAAACGACGTTACAAAACATATCTTTAAAACATGTGGAACGCGTGAATCGAACGAAAATAATGGGTTTATTAAAAATTTCATGGATATATTGCAATTATCCGGTCGGTGGCTTGAACATATTTTTTGCAAAAAATGTATAAATATTTTATCACATTGCTATGTAACCGATTGTACCTATTACGGAAGATTTACAAACTAAGTTCTTATTTTGTCCTATACATTTCATCTCGCGTATAGCCGAAAAAACTACACGAGAAAAATGAAAAACCAATACACTAATTGGTACCGAGAAGAAATAAGGTTCCTCTCAATTTAATCGGATTATACTCAATTACCTTGATTAAAAGCTCTGCTAACGATTTGAGATTAAGAATTATTTAATAAATTAAGTCAAAAGAAACTGGTAGCGCTGAGTTCGGTTTCTGAGCTTGAAAATCCTGAACGGCGTTTTAACTATTTATTGTAATATATTACTGATGTGCTGTTCACGCGAGTAGTACACGTTTAACGGTTTAAAACGAGAAATTTATTAGTTTAACTAATTTACAACTTATTGCTTGCTTATATAAAGTAAGCAGCAAATGTTTTGTTCAAACACACCTTACATGTGCGTGTAATTGCTGTCTGCAAGGTGAACGTCCCAAAGCAGCCAGCGTATTATCAATAATATCTCAATCTAGACATTATATTGATCTAGGTTTATGTCAACAGATGTATCTCAATATTCGATACTATATTCTATCAATTTCCCTTTGAACGGGACAAGTCACGCGTGCCGTTTGTCTAGTCTATACAACCAATTGGTGTGTGGCTCAAGCATTCAACTCAACCCGAGTTTAATGTTTCATTATGCCTGAATGCCAAATGTCAAAATAGGTCGAGAAGGGATCCATCAGTTCACTTGACGGATTCATCTATGCTTATCTATCTCCTTCCCCCCCTTATAAAAAAAGACTACAGACATCATCGTATTCAAATAAAACATTTATAACGGTTTAAAACGACGCTACAAACGCCGTAGTCACAGTAAATTTAAAAAAATGTCAACTAATTATATTTCACGTTTTAAACCGTTAAATGTGTAAACTACAGACAGTACTTGATCATCATTGTTATCAACATAATTTATTAACATTGACATCTACTAATACTATGTCTGTCTGTATTTGGATTTTCTAAAACAAATTCGAACAATACGGAGTTTAAAAGTAGGTGCCAGTAGGTAGTAACCCCGCGCCTTGAAGAGTACCATCAAGCCACACTGACGCAGTGAGGTGAGTCTAGGCTCAAACCTTCCCTCCTATAAGATGTTCCTGTGTTGGGTAGTGCTTAGTATGCTACACTATATTATTATAAAACAACTATCATAAATTTCTCTGCTTAAATAACGTATTAATAAAAACATGAAACGTAGCCTGCTCTTGGTGGAAGACACAAAATTGGGAAGACAGCTAAGGCAGGAAATTTAAACCAGAGTGGTGAGTGGCCATATAATTCGTGTTGCTTTTACATGTATTTTGTGGTACAATTTGCAGGTTGAAGCGATTTATTAACTTTGATTTCCTAACTTTTAAAATTGTCTGTAGTAAATAAAGCACTTTTACGTTTAGCTAAGTATATTAGTTAACTTATGTAATGAGACGTTTAATAAGTTAATTAATATACTTCGCGTTTTAAACAGAAAAAGTGTTTTATTTCAATAATAAAAAAAAAACACCTTAAGCGACGCAGTGTCGCTTGATCACTGTAAAAAAATATACCTAATTTATGAAAATTTTGTGCTTGACCAAGTTTATATCTGTTACCGGATATGACAGAGCAGATTTTGAGGTTAAAACAAAAGTAATAGCCTTTTTTTTTAATGAGAAGGAAGATAATCATGAAGTCCTTTTGGTTGATATATTCTAGCTTTGGATTTTCGAAAAAAGTGACTATCGGACCACTTTTTCCTACCACCACCTACCACCTATACCACCTATATTTACTATCACATTATAATATAGTTAACAAAATATAATTTGAATATAAACAAGTTGGTCTCGGTGGAGATCGAACCCAAAAAAAACGTACGTAAAGTTAAACACGAATTTGATTAACCTAATTCACATACTTAGTAACACAAATTACCAACACTTCTGTGGCCAAACAGATTCGTGTTTTTAATCGTTAAAAATGTGTTTAGTTTATCTTCTTTATCAAAAGAAACTTGTACCATACAGCACGGATTCAATCCATTCAGTCTCAAACGGCACGATGTACTTTTGTTTGTTTTGTCCAAATGGTAACTACGTCACGTATTTGCGCAAAGGGCACTGATGGGTCAGTTTAGCGCTTAGTGGAAAAGCGTAGCGTAAAGTCCTTTATTCCTTTTGAGGCATGAGGCAGACGCATTATTGTGTCCTTTTCTCTAACCGATTTTAATTAACCTTTCTGCTATGCCCTACGAAATCTATATAAGTTTTTGTTTTCCCAAAAGACGAACCGAGGACATTTTAAGACAAACAATTTATTTAAAACACTTTTAGCTTAAACTACAAATATATAGGTTTATTTTAACTTTGGCCCGACGTCCCCCCGGGAACACGGTACTGCATAGCATCCGAAACAGCGGGGCATAGTTAGAATCAATTTAATTAATATGTTTTGCGTTTTAAACCGTTTAAAGTGTTTTGTTTAAATGTGTTACTACTCGCGTAAACTACAGGCCGTACTTGACGTAATTTAAATGTCTTTATTGTCACATACGAGACAATATAAAACAGAGTGGGTACAAGGGAATAAGTTGCTTCAAACACTTCGAGCGCAAGAGGTCCGGGGTTCGAAATTCGGGGGGGGGATCAGGAACCACATTCGTTCAGACAAAACATCACCTAATTAACCACTAACCTACAATAACAGAAATATTTTTCACACGCACTACGACAAAGGAAATAGCGATTCAATAAAACAATCAACGCGACGTTAAAAATTGTAACCGCCAGTAACAGCGCATTTGATGTATAACATAAAAGAGTACATAAAGATAATATTATGTGATGGCTGGCAGCGCGCCATCTTGGACCCAAGAGGTTGTATTAACAATGGATCTTTGGCATCGTCTAGAAAATACACTGATTTTAAACAATAAAAATACAATTTGCGACTACACTTCATTGCGAATAGAAGGTCGCAGGCAGTTAAGTATTTCACTGTTTTATCGCTATGTACTTATGTTTTATACTCGAATAGTACCTCCGTAGTTTAGCTTTTAGTTAAATAGAACACTTTTAACGGTTTAAAACCCACCAGAGGCCACTGCTGTAAAGAATCGAAATTTCGGGCTGTAGTTAAAGTAAATTGTAAATAAGTTTGACTAATACATCTCGCGTTTAAAACCGTTAAAAGTCTTTTTATTCAAATGCGTACTGCCCGCGTAAACTGTAGACAATATTTCAGCAGTATTTTTGTTATTATTCAGTGTTTAATTTATCTGTTTAAAACGCGAAGTATAATAGTTGACATAGTACGGTTCAAAACGTCATAAAGAGATGTTACCTAATACAATTTACGCTTTATAGTGAACTATGATTTGTCCTAAGACTGACCGACGACCAAAGACAATCCATGGTATCCTTGGAATTGAATGGACTATGCTCCTATATCATGTTTTTCTTACATTCTTCAATATCTATAAAAAAATGTAGATTGTATATCGTCAAGAGATTATAAAGTGTATTTCTTCAACCTACTGGTACATGCCCCTCTAAATTACATTGTGCGAGAGGTGTTAATATTAATACGGCAGCTTGATTGGTAACAACAGCTATAGCTAGCAGCTAGCAGCAGCAACAGATAACAACAGCACGGAACGCTGTGGATGCCGGCATAAGTCTTGATAGGGTGGTAATTTATTTTTCAATCCAAAATCGGTTCTTTAATTTATATAAGTAAACTTACCAAGTGCAAATCCATCCTTCGCCCACTGCACCTGACCAGCAAGATTAGCTACGGCGCACTCCAGAACCGCCTCCGATCCTTCCTGGACGCGAAGGCTCCGCGGGGACACGCGGAAATATTGTTGTTGAAAACACGACACCGACGATAGCACTGCAACAGGGAACAACAAATTGTTGTAATTTAAATACTGTCTTTACGCGAGTAGTACACAATTTAATGAAAGACGGTTTAAAACGCGATAAATATATTAATTAAATGTATCTGAAAATTATTTTTAACTACGGCCTGACATTTCGGATGCTTTGCAGCAGCCGTGGTCCCCGGCGGACACGTATACACGTGTCTCCCCGTAACCATGTTTAGACTAATATCGCGTTTTAAGGTGTTAAAGTGTTTTATTTAAATTTATAAAATTAACTACATTTACACAAGTACAGAAGAATAAGGTGCTGTAACAATCTATCACAATGACACAGTTACTGCTTCCATTTCATATCAAACACTTTGGGTACTAGAAGTCCAGGATTCGAATTTCTGAGTGAATCAGGAACCACCTTCGTTTCGACAAACCACAGAAGGCTAATTAACCGCGGGAGAAGATTTCTCACACGCACTAAGGCAAATAAAATAACAAAATTACTATAAATTATTAAAATTAAAATTCAATAAAATACTTGATATTAAATTATTTTCTATAAAAAAAATATTATAGTGAAATCATAACGTCGAGCCTTTTCAAATCCTTCTCAATTATGACTGCCTCCTTGGTTGAATAATCTGGCGTTGCTTACGGCAATTGAATTCGTGAGTTCGATTCCCGGACAATTAATAGTTGGAGGCAGCGCAGAGAAGCCTCAAAGCACTTGCTGTTTAAGAGATCGATTAGTTAAGCGGACACAAAAACTGCTGATAGATGATTTTTTCTATAAACTACATCTAAAAAAAATCGCCCTTCGATTGAAGCATTGTGTATTATCTTCTTGGCTGAGCTTCAAGGTTTTCGGATCGCTGATACGGCTGTTCTCTAAAAAGCATATTTTTCTACGCCAAGCTAACAAGACCAACGGACTTGGAAGAGCTTTATTTATTTTAAACTCAAGGCCCTGTTTAGGAATTGTAGAGTTTTATGTAAGCTTTGTTTAAATAAAAAAAAATATAGGTAATACCTTTTTGTAAAATTATTGTTATATATATAGTGATCAATATTTAATCGATTTATAATATAAATGGAACGTAGCTGAATTACCCCAGCCATATATCATCTCAATAAGATGTGCGGTCGACCTATTTTAGCTTTGGATAATTTGAAATTCAGACTGAAACCGAAACACGATTAAACTTGAAGGTTTTTTATTTGTGGACGGTGTTTCGTGACCCATTTAATATCCAGTGGAAATCCAACAAGTTTCAAAAAACTTGGTTATAAATATGTCGGGTCCAGTAGGAATCGAACCCAAGCCCCGGTGATTATTAACCATACATTGCTTGAAGCGTGACAAAAGGACGTAAACGATTTAATAGACTTAGTAGATACGTTTGTTCTCTATTCTTTTAATTCCTAGGACAGGAATAAAGTCATTCAAACACAAGAAACCGATGTAACAACTCACTATTCCTGGTCAATCCAGGTTTTTGCCCTCCAATAGGCTCTTACACAACTGTGTCGTAATGATGGTCGAGCGACGGAAAACGCGTTCCCTTTTTGTGCCAAGACTGGATTGAACATACTTGTTCAAGTCAGTGCTAAGGACAAGTGTTAGAAAATTGATAAAACGAATTACGAATTACTTTTAATCGACGTTACACTGTACTACCTGTGCACCAGACTTCGTACGCGTGGAACTGTTATGTTGGGCAACATTTTATTTATTTATGCAAACAAAACCCTAAAACTAACCCACGACGTCCGTCGCGTCCCGCCGTAATGCGAAATAAAATAATCTTAATAATCAAACAAATACTATCGCAGACATTTTTTTAATCATTCTTTAATACATATTTTTTCAATTATCTCGAACCGTTTTCGCAACGCACGCAACAAAAGCACTCAAAGGTGAATAATTTTCCCAATTTTTCCACATTTCCCTCTATTTCTTCGCTCCTATTGGTCGTAGCCACAATTTTTCAATACGAAAACCTAGTTTTATCGCTATTAAATTATGCTAATATTATTTTTTATCGCACAATAGGGGTTAAAACATTGTTAACAGTGTAAAAGTACCCATTTGGTAACACACCTACTTCAAGTTAAAATTAGTCGACGTTTCGGTAATGTTCAATGCTTCGTGTCAAGGCTAACCAAGAACTATTAACAATTTAATTTTCCAAATTAAAATGTATTAATTTTGAATAATTGTATATGAATTTGCAACCTTCTGCGAGCTCTCGTTTATAATAAAGTAGCGCCCAATTACAAATTGTAACATTTAGCAATTTAATGAATATTATAATTTTAATAAAGCACTATTAACGGTTTAAAACGCGACGTATCTTATTTAGCATCACAATTTATTTAAACTACGGCCCGATGTTTCAAATACAAGTCAACCAATAAATTGTTTATGTGTAGAACTACAGACACTACTAAATATTAAAAAAGGAATAACGAAATTCGAAAAGAAAATATGTTTAAATAAAACCACTTTAACGCTTTAAAACGCGATATATATTGGTTACCTCCTACAAATAAGTAATATAATTTTAACTAATATATATCGCGTTTTAAACCGTTAAAGTGTACTACAACTTAACTACATACAGACAAAAAATATGCCCCAAACGTCTTCGATTTGTAATTGTAGTCTTAACTACACAATATGTTCGTCCTTCACGGGTGAACCTTGAAAAGTGCTGAGCAAAAGCGTTGCTTGTCAGTCTTCCATCAGCTAATATGATAGCGGAGTGGCGACAAGTGTTCTTATAAGGCGCGACTGCCACTAGAAAGGTGAACGCTCCTTACTGAGTGGATTAAGGCATCAACTTACGTCTTATTGCGCGATGGAGGGAATATTCCAATTCTTTTATCTTATTGGAGATTCATCTTATCCGGCGAATAGAATTACACGTAGAAAATATAAGGACCTTTATGTTTTAATTTTCATACTAAAGGATAAATATTGACTCTGGAAAAGCACTGATACAAATTTTAACCAACTAATATAATAGTACAATATATTCCAGATATAAATTTAAGAAATAAAAACGTAATAATTATAGTCTGTAGTTTACGCGATTAGTTTAAAATGCCAATGAAATTAGTTATCTTATTTACAGTTGGAAACGACGGGCCGTAAGTTAGAATTTATTTAATAACTAGATACACACGTGTTAAACTACTTAAGCTTAATTATATATTATGTACCTTACTTAAGTATGCACAAAGTTGCCGATAGATATATACAGAGGGATAAAAAACTAATGCACCCTAAAAACACGAAAAATGAATTGTTAACAATTTAACTTATATAAATATGTATTAATTTACATTTTAAAAAATGCCTCACAGACGCGTCTTACATTTCTCGCTATCACTCGTGACTTGTGGGCTAAGGCTAGTTTACACTGCGAACCTTAAGCGGCGCACACACTCAGCTCAAATTAACCGTGCGTTTGTTATTTCAATTGTCACTCAGACATACTTCTGTGTGCGGCCTGCGTCGCGATCCAGGGAACTATTGTCAAATATAAACAGTGGCAAACATTTTGCCAGTTTTAGTCTGCAACTTTGTGTTTTTACAAAAGCTTGTTTTCTTTTCATCATATAGGACGACGACAGATAAGCATGGGATTCACTCGGTGGTAGGTGAAATACCCCAGTTATAATATAACATCTAAGCCCACTTATTTTTGACTTTAGATATTCGGAAATCCGCAAATCGAAACTGAAACGCGATTACACGTGACGGCTTTTCCATCTATAGACGGTTGTGTGACGCGGACGTGTTAAAATTTTTATTTTTCATGTTACAGAAAAAAAAAATTGTTATGAATTAAATTAAATTTGAAAATAAATTAAAAATTTTATTTTTATTAGATAAATGCAAAACCCGGTGTGGACCGAACCCACGACCCGGTCATTATCAGCCATACATTTTTTTACCATACTTTTTTTTTAATTACAGTTTACAACAGAGTATAAATACACAAATGACCCCTTCCGTGTCAAAATGGTTTTAAACGTGTCGCTTAGGATTGCGTTAAGCGCGAAAGGTATCGATTCGAATCCCAGGAAAATTAAAAGAACCGATGAACGAAACGGACACGGAAATGTGTTCGCCCTATGCTCCACATGGGCGACAAGGATTTCATTAAACTATAATAAAATAAGTACCTAAGCATTAAGTTGCGTTGATCTTGACAACTCTCAAGATAAACTAAAAGATAAGCACAAGAAAGAAAACCAGTTTCAATAAACTACTAAGTTTAATAAATCAATAAGTATTTCCTCACAATAAGTACGTACAGTAGAATAAAATATGCATAAAAATAATAGGGAGGAAAAAATATCATAAGGCATCCTGAATGGAAAAATTTAAGATCAAATTGAAGATAACAAATGAGGGAACAGCACAAAGAAGCTAAAAGAAGGCTTCATTATAGAAATGAGGGGAATACAATTGTATGAACGTAGGTATATATACGGTCTATATATTATTATTTCTACTGTAAAACTGTACTTCTCGTTATTTTATAAAATAAAATCTTGTGTTTACTGTATTATGGTTTTTTCTCTAGTTTACAAACATTCATATTAATCTGATTCAAGTTGTCCGCACGTACTCGTCTCGTAGTATAGTATATATTATAAATACAACAATTTCATAAGTAAGACAGATAATTAAATACCAGAAGTTTCAATTCTAGAATATTATAGAAACTGTACAATTATACATAAATACAAGTAATATGGATTGATTCGTGAAATGGTTCATGAGTTCGACCCCCCCCCCCACCCCAACATTTTTCTAATCAAATTGTAATTTTTATGAAACACGTTGGACTTCGTCTGAAAACCTAGTGGTAATAATTCGTCCGGATCACCGTCCGAACAAGACAGATGAAGAAGTCGTAAAGTTTAATCGCGTTACGGTTTCTGCCTCATATCATAAAAAAGTATTTATATTTTTTATTGTAAATATTCTAACAAATTTGATTTGGATAAATTGATGAGACACTTGCAATTTTATTACTTAGTTCAAATATCTCCAATTAGATTGACATTGTGTCTATAAAAAGGGGCAAGTGTAAGCTTTACGCAGCACGGTTGTAACGCGATAAAAAAGGACCATAACAATGACAAAGACATCGAAGAAGGTAAACAATACCGTTAATAGGAGTTGTCGATAAAAATTGGGAAGCACAAAAGTTATGATTTCGCTGACGTGGCGGGAGATTTATGGGGAAAATATTAAGGAGGGGAAACTTTTGGGAGTCGGCAAAACAGCGATGCGTGTTTCCATTCGAAAAGTCGCTGCCAGTGGAATCGACGGATTAAAAATGACGTAGTTTGTTATACAAGAACTCGTGTATTAAATTTGAATAAATTTTACGGGGACGATGAAAATTTTACAGGCGCGCATAAAGTTACATTGTATGGTTAAAAATCAATAGGTCTAATTAATATAACTTTATCTAAAACATCTTGATATTATTATCAAAATTCTGTCTGTGGTCCCACTGGCCACAGTTGGAAAATTCATATAGGCTTAAGTTTCAGTCTGTGCACTGCTGAATATTCAAACGTAAAATATGCAGACAGCACATCGTGTTAAAATGTTATATGCTTAGGTATTTCACCTTCAAACAAGTGCCACCCGTGCTAGCTAATCTCTTCCATATACAAAAAAATGTAGATTCGTTAAAAAAAAGTGGTTTATAACTGGAGATATCAAAACATACAGGAACACATAAAGGACATTACATTAATAGAGAAAATCGTGAAAAATTCTTCATTGGAAACAAACCCATCAAATGTTCGGTATTTAGTAACGTTTGCAAATAAGTCAATTGCTTTGACATTTTCATTGGAATACGGTCAAGTGTATGCCGGTCCGATTTAACGTTCGCTCCGTATCTATCTTTGATCAATTTCTGTTTGAAGTTATAACATCGTATGGGAGGAAACCACTATGAAACCTAATGGAGTTACAGTGTCGGTGAGGTTTATTTCAAGCTATGTAAGTCATAGTTCTATACATACATGTATACTGTAGTTCTAGAATTTTTTTAACACATTCTTCGTTTAGTAATAGACTAACTTAGTAGGTATAACTATATACGTAATTATAAGTTAGATAAAGAGAACGATTTCCGGAGCTTTGTAACCGCAAAGTTTAAAAAAATATTTATTACAATTGAACCCTAAAAGCACGCCAAAAGTAATAAGTTGCAATCCAAGTTTTGGGCTGTGAACTTCGACAGTTCAGCGCCCTTTCAAAATAATGGGATTTTATTTGAAAACGATGAGGGAGAATATAAATTTAATATCTTATGTACATTTTTCATTATAATTTGAAATTTATAATAGTAGGACAGACTCTTTGGTCTCATGGTGGTGCATGGTAACGATCCGTCTTCCACAGATAAAGAAGTTTAATCATTTCAGTTTCCCGAATATCCAAAGGTAAAATTGGTCCACAGCGTGTATATATATATTAGTAGTATATTAGTAGTAGTTAGGAGTATTCCATAAATGCCATAAAAATGTTGTAATGAAGAATAATGACAAACGTATAGACCCAAATACTTGTCATTATTTACAACACAAAATAATTAACTCCGCACCGAACAATTAACAATTGGATATAGCTCAAAAAAAACCAAGGTCCAAAATGTTTTTGTAATTCAAAAATAACCCCTCCGTTAAAACAAAACCGTGCTTAAATAGTTCTTAGTTAATATTAAAATGTTCCGAATGTCCTTTGAGAGTTGTTTCAAAGAACCATTGTGTTTTGCGACGTAAGTGCGTGGAATTGTTGCAAATGTAAATATTATTTTAATGTATTGTTCGAATGCAGTTTTTGTTCTCGATAAGGGCATAAAGAAGGGTTGGGTGTGTTGAATGTTCGATAGAAGTAATAAAAAAGTTGTAAGTCGTCGGTTTTCATTTGTACATCAGGTGTTCGGTTTAACACAAGTCCCAGCAGTTGATACAATGATGATAAAGACATATTTTATAGTCCTCAACTCCAGTTTTCCCAATATGAGCCTTGAGGCAAAAAAAAAACGATCACTGATCGATTCTAGTTACAGACAAGTAGTTCACATTATATGCACTGCTAACGAAATTATTCTTCTCTTTCAGTATTCGAACCCAGTAGCTTTTGGGCTTAGTATTATACTAGAAAATAGGTATTTTATTATCTATATATGAAGCAGTGTTAAAAGTTTAATTTATGAAGACAAGAGCTATGATTATCATACAAAGTTATTTAGAGTGTCGCAACTTAGAAAGAGATACGTACCAAATAATAAAGCAGCGGAAATCCGTATTTTGGCACACATCTTGATGTTCATAAGACACACAGCACATAATTTCACTACTTCACACAAAAATCACCTCCACATTGTCACCTTGCACTGTCACACCGTCTCACACAGCCACCGGGGGATCAACGCTTTTGTGGTACTACCATTTTGCCAACCTGTAAAGAAAAATTATCTTCATCAAGTACTGTCTGCCGTTTGAACCTTTAAATAAAACGCTTTTCACGGTTTAAAACGCGATTTATATTACTTACTTATTTACAAAATATCTAACTGCCGCCCGACGTTTCGGATACTTTGCAGTAGCCTTGGTTAGAGTAATTAAGTTAAATAACTAATATAATGCGCGTTTTAAATCGTTAAGTAAGTGATTTATTTAAAAATCTATATCGTAAAGAACCTTCAAGAGACTAAGTCCACACTAGCATTTTATGTCCACCGCTAGAATATTTCATCGGAAAAATAACTTTCCGTTCAAATTACAAGCTCATGGGATTTTATGGCGAATCGTAAAAAAATATTTATTTAGAATGTTTACGACAGCGCCTGAAAAATGACACTTTAATGCATCTTCTAAAAACATTAAACTTTTGTGTCGTTAAATCAATGTGACGTTAATTTTTTATAGACTTTTTAGATAACAAAGAAAGAAGAATTTTAAATTTTGACTTAACTATAATTCACGATAAAGGTCAATATTATAGATAAATTATCTAACTATGGTCCGCCTTCGTCAGTGAAAGCTAGAGACCTAGCTTTTTCTGTTCTAGCTAGCCCTAGCTGTTCCCCGTACCTATCACCCGTGTGAGCTTTCGTCCAACTCTTCAAGCTCCGACCCACGTTGTAGTAGTCTAAGCCAAAGCCTTTTGGGGTCCGTACGGTCTACACGTGCCCCAAGTGGGGTTAGTTTTAAAGTTACCAGGCCAACAAACGCGACGTCAAATAAATTAATTTCTGTCCCTATGTGCGCTTAAATCTTTAAAACCACACAACGGATTGGATTCGGACGGAAGAAGGTTTTTATACACAACTCTCAGTTTTTATGTAGTGTATTTAGTATCAATATTGCTGCCGAGCGAAGCCGGGGCGACTCGCAAGTATCAAATCCCACGCAGAGCAAACTATTATAACAATTAATGTACCGTTTCACTAATTTATTTGCCGACTGCTAAAATAGTCTTATTGAGTCCCCATTGTGATGTAGAAAGTCTGAGAATTATCTAGCAAAAGTGACGTCACGTTATCCCACACGAAGCTTATTAAGCATTTGTTTAGATGTTTGAAATCATTGCACAAGCTGTGCCCACGCGCATCGCCAAAGGTAAGATATAATACCTATATATTGTTTGGTACAAAATGCATCCTATATTCACATATTATAATTATTTTTTGTTGCAAAATAATAATAAGTAGGTATGTACCTAAATACTGTCTATAGTTTACGCGAGTAGTACACATTTAAATAAAACACTTTAACGGTTTAAAACGCGATATATTAGTTAAACTTATTTGAAAATGATTTTTAACTTCGGCCCGACGTTTCGGATGCTTTGCAGCAGCCGTGGTCACGTGATCATTCAATCATTTTCAAATAAGTTTAACTAATATATCGCGTTTTAAACCGTTAAAGTATTTTGTTTAAAAGGTATGTACCTACCTAATTTAGATAAAACTCATTTAACGGTTGAAAAACAGGAGTATATAAGTCAACTTATGTTTAACTACATCTATGTATACAGGCAGTCCTCGTACTTACGGCATGTTAGGTTCTCGAAATACGCGACGTAAATCGAAACGACGTAAGTCGAGACATATTTTTTCATATGTTTACATATAAAACTCAAGGGTTAGGTTCCACACGGACTCGAAATAATAAAAAAACTGCATTTATAACAAAGGACGTACTTTATTATTAAAAGTAAGTTCTTAAAATAATTATATATTTTGCACTTATGAAATTGCTAGTTATTTTTGGTATTTGTGTGTTATTAATTTTAATAATTATTATAAAACTTATACATATGTAATGATAAATAATAAATTAAACTTTTGGCTTAAAGAAACTATCAATTCTAGATTGCTTGGCTTCTTTCTTCTTGCTATCATACAGATCTTGGTAACTGTGATAGGCTGCACAAATTTTGTTATTAACGTTAAAACTTCTCTCAAAATTAGGATCATTTTCTTCAAAAATTTTCATGGCATTCTTCAAATTTGCAAAGGCTACGGAAAGTTTTTTTAGTGTAAGTTCTTTTTCAGAGTCACTAATAGAAGAAGCTATTTCTTGTGACTCGAGTGCTTCCTTTTGTACTTGTGCCTCCAATTCAATAAGATCTTCATCAGTCAGTTCTTGCGAATGTGAGCTTAGCAGATCATCAATATCATCAGTAGTAACTGCAACTGCAGTTGCCTGACGCAAACGGTTAGCCAAATGAACAATGTCAGTTGTGATCTCATCGACATTTGGTTGGTGGTTTAAATTGTTGGGTGTCACCTCATCCCATGAAGTAGCAATATTTTTTACGACATTTGCGCGGTATTCCCCGCACGAGACGACACCGCGCCCCGTCCGCGCCCCTCACGGACATTGACCTTGCGACAAGTGAATTCTCCGATATGCCGGAAATCGAAACAAATGACGTATGTTTGAGGAATAGTGTCAAACCATTGTTTGACGTAACTTGAAACGACGTAAGTCGAGGACTGCCTGTATTCCTAATTTTTTGGTATACAAAAATATTTTACTACTAAAATATGTAGTCTGCCCCCTTTAGTTTCAAAATTAAAAATGGTTTAAATATTACATTTTCAAATTCCAAATTGTCTCAAAATATCTTAAAACCATATAAATAAAAAAAAATCTGGAGAGCTGCTGTAATTAGGTATTAAGTTAGCAAAGTTTTAAACCGTTAAACTTAAATAATACGTGTGCCACTTGGCTATCTATAGGCGAGTTAAGAAATCTCGCTACAGCTCTTGACTTAAACTGCAATAAAACAAAATGTAGGTGGACAAAACCTAGTGAGACGCAATTATTGTCTCTTCGGGTGTCTGCTAGTTCAACTTTGTTTGTTATGATAATATGGTTTTTGTTGATAAAACTTGTTAGGCATGGTTTGTTGAATGAGTTTTGACTGTTAACGAGGGACGTACATTTATTTAGAACACACGACAAATGGGTCGGGTTTGTTTATTTTTGCATCAAGCTGTATATTTTTTTAATACTCAAAACTAAACTTGTCAAAGAAGTTTATTTGAAATTCAATCTGTAATCAACCATAGCTATTAAATCAGCCTGAAACGACAAACTGAACTAAAATGGCTGCCAACCGCAAAACCACTATTTAAACGATGATGGTACACACTGCACTTAGGTTACGGTACAGGACATTCAGCTGATTTCATAGCTGCAAAACAGCTAAAAAATTGGCAACTAGACACATAAAGAACGATCAAAATTACATATATTCTTATATTACAAGTTAATCCACTATGTTGCCCCAGTGCGGGTTAGTGGGCTTTTTATATTATGGTTAATTCCACGCTTAAAAGTTAGGTGATATATATCGCATTTATTACCGTTAAAAGTGTCTATTAAATGTTTTACGAAACTTATCAATATTGTTTAATATAATCTTTAAAAATCTGATTAAAAATGAAAAAGTTTTTCCAAAATCAATTAAGTATACCAATTTTTTTATAATCGTTCAAATCAGAAAGTCGAGCATATTTTAATCAATGATTTGCAGCTTACTTTTCGTGCAAAAAAACACACCAAATTGTTACCATTTCACAAACTACCGCCATTACTCGTAATATTTGGAAAAGAGCTATGTATATATAAAAACAAGTTTAACATATATTAAATGGCGTTAAATGTTGGCTCGTTGTACGTAATTTAGCTTTTGAAAGTCATATAATATAACTCGACAGTGATAATGAGTGTAGAGGCTAGTACATGTTGTATCCAACATCTGTGAATCGTTCAGTTCACACGAACGCCACATGTCTTGCGAAACGTTTATTGTTTTGTATTGTTTTCTTTCTTGTTGCGGCGCCCAAGATGTGTTTACAGAAATCGATAGGATTTTTACAACATTTTTATGTTTTGGGTATCGTTTTTCGAAAGGGGTAGATCATTTTAGTATACACATTAAATCTAATTAGACGATTTTTGAGCACGTTTTACATTTGACACAGTACTGTGTCCGTTTTAAAATAAACGATTTCATTTACTGTGATTGTACATTACATACATTTTTCCCACTTTTCGAACTCAAAACCTCTTTAACGTAACTACTACACCACGAAGTAGGTAACAAAATAACGATATTATACAAAAAAGTACGGTAAAGTATTTTAAATACCAAATATAATTCACTCTAAAGGTACATAAGTTTTTAAGCATAAAACGAGAAAACTGAGTTCAGATTTTTTTTCCTTGCTAGTGCTGGTAATCATGTAGAAGAAGATATATTATGTTAAAAATGATGGCAACCCCTAAATAATAATACAAAATCATCAAAAGCGTTTTACCTTAGACATACGCCAATTTTACAACAAAGCAGACAGCTTTGTAATCATTTATCCTATTTTAATGAAGTTTTTAAATGAAAGCGACTTCAAATTGCCACCATACGATTGTTCTTGTTAAGGACAAATTAATTTAGTTAATTTTAACGTGTATACAAACTAAAGAAATTCTACGTATAATTTACAGAATACAGTTAACTACTCTCAACGAAAACTGTTATAATTCCTAGCATTGACCACTAACCGTAATATATATATATCACCGTTCTATGACAGCGGAGCACAGACAAGCAAGGGGCACACTTGATGAAGGTGAAATACTTCGACCATATAACATCTAAACACGGTGCGCTGTCGACTTATTTTGGCTTTGGACGTTGAGAAATATACAGACTGAAGCCGAACCACAGATTAAGATATCGTGATTAATACATTTGTGGTCGTAACCAGGTTTTTTACAGGTTTAGTACACATTTAAATAAAAC